ATAGAGAGTTAGGTAGGGAAGGCTAGACAACGAAGGTTTATAGTTTACAACTTTGGTGATTGGAAGACTTGCTGAAAGGGCTGTGAAATTCTTCTCCAAAATGTCTTCAATATCTCAAGGTATGTTAATCAAGAATTTATTTTTTAATTTTAATTTACAAATCATACTAAAGATCCTGCTCCTTATGTCTAGCATAGACTTGTTGATATCTTATGTACACAATTTGATAACTACAATCAACAACCCAAAAAAAATGATAAATTCTTTTTATGTCATTGCAACAAATTACTAGTTTTTTCTTTTTGTTTTGCCTGATAAAAAGGATTACTAGTTTTTGTCTTGAATTCGCAAATAGATGGTATTGGTTCTAAGTTTCATGTTTGGCCTAGGATTTTGCATCGGCCAAAAGTGAATCTATATACATCTTTCACGAAGTACACATTAATATTGTTTTAACGTTAATCTGTGAACTTATTCGAGATACGGCAATGTTCTTCCGGTATACTTCCAATTACCTTCAAAAGCCGCTGCCGTCAAAAGCCGGCTGATTTTGTCAAAGTTTAATCAACACTCTATATAAATGTTGTACCGTGTATTTGTTCCTCCATGATCAAAATTAAGGCACAAAAAAAAAGCTTTCGCAGAAGACAGAGAGAAATTTAATATACAAATGGCGTCGAAAGCTTTCTTGATTGCAGTAGCTATGGCTGCTACAATTGTCGCTCCAACAATGGCAAAGGAAATATTGGTTGGAGGTGAAGATGGTTGGAGATTGGGCATTAATTATCAGGCCTGGGCTGATGGAATTGAATTTGACGTTGGAGATACCTTGGGTATGTCAATCTCCTTCAATCCAGATCTTGATCATGATTCTTACTTTCATACATTCATCATAAAACATTATTCTGATTCTAACAAGTCAGTAATATTAGACAAATATTAGTCATGCTCTTTTTTTTTTTTTTTAATAATGACAATCCTGCCATCATTTTTGTCACGTAATTTTTATTTATTTATTAGACTATATGATAAAAAATAATGAAAATATCATTGTAAAACTGTAGATTACGATTGTTGAGTGAATTAATAATGTCTGAACCCAAAGTGCTTGCTGTACTGATTTATCAAAGCTTGCTCAATTCTTAGGAGTGGTATAGCATTTCAAAAAGTAATCCTTAAAAACTAATACAGATTGGACAGGAAAATGGTTATGCTTGTGTATCCATTGTGGATGCACAAAAAGCTTGAAATTTATCTCACATTGATTGTGAAAAGACCAGTGCGAGGAAAAGTCTAGCTAATTTTTAAGGCAAGAGATCCAAAGTGTCACTTTTTTTTGGATTTTCTAACATCCAACAATATGATGGCAGAAATTATCAAATTAAAATCAGTTGAAATCTTCATTTTTATTACCAAACAAAACAAATCTCTGTATATATATATATATATATATTTTAAAGATTCATCGTGTAATTCACTAACCAAGTCTTTTGGCAACATATAGTGTTTAACTACGTGGCTGGAAACCACAATGTCATCAAAGTAAATGGGACCGACTTCCAACGTTGCGCGGCGCCGCTCGGCGCTGCACCTTTAATCTCCGGTCATGATGTGATCCTCCTCGCCACTCCCGGAAGGAAATGGTACATTTGTGGCGTTGCCAATCATTGCCAGGCTGGACCAATGAAGTTTGCCATTACTGTCCAGGTCCAGGGAGGTAGATCTCCTCCACCTGCATCTGCTCCAGGATCTCCTTCACCTGCATCTGCTCCAAGTCCTGCCTCCCCATGTTCTTGAAATTCTGGAATTGCTTCCTCAAAGAATTTCCAGATTGTGTTCTATGGGACACACCCTTTGATGTCGAACATCATCCATTACGGATGAGGGGCTTATAGGATATTGTCAATAAAGTTGCCCAAGAAGTCATTTGGATTTCTTAGTTGGGGAGGGGTAACCGTCGTGGTCTTATATTGTTATTACATTTTCCAGTTGTATTTGAGTTTAAGTTTTAAATTACTAGTACAATAATCGGACGAGATGTTGGAGCAGCTTCCTTAATTGTTCTTTAATCATATTTAGTATGTTGTGCCTTGTAATAGCTTATTATTACACTTTTATCGACTTTGGTTATTCAACTTTGGTTGGTTATTTCCAAATGTTTTGGGGTATGAAGAAGGCCGTCTAGTGTATATCATTTCTTTCTTTGGAATCGGTTTGATGTCAATATTCTACCTGCCATATTTCTTAAAGTAGGAAAATTAAATTTTTATTCTATTTAGTGGATCATTTGAGAAATATAGACAATATTTTTTTTTTTTTAAAAATGGAGTAGTTTTTCCCAAGTAATTAAGAAAAACTTACCAAGTATTGTTCCTGATTCACTACAATGAATCATGTAATCAGTGACAAGAATTTAAATTCTCATTTCTAGATTTTTTTTTTCACTAAGCCAATGCACAAGTATACACCCATGAATTGACTGACTTCTTGGTCTATAATGTCTTAATTACTCAAAGTGAAACAGAGAAACCTCATACTTAATGTGCACGCGCGCGCGCGCACACACACACATATATATATATATATATATATATTCAAAATCCAAGATATTATCGAATCAAACATATATATATAGATTAATATCAAACATGCATTGATATATTTCTTGTACTAGGATATTGTACGAAAATTTGCACTTAGTTACGGCCAGTATGACATCTTCCACATTGTAGAAGCAAAAGGTTCATGTTAATGGATGATTGTACACATTTATTGTCTTAGATAGGAATTCTCAAAATGAATTCTCACAACGCAACGTAAAAAGTACATTTCAAAAGACAGTTCTTTTTCCAGGATTTAAAATAAGCTAGCTCCAAGATTTAGGAAAAAAAAAGTGGTAAAGAAGGCATAGCTTTAGATTCGACTTGGCCTATGTACACGCTACAATTAATCAATTTGATATAAAAAAAAAATTGACATAAGCCTCTTGTATAGAATGTTTAGTATCGGTTGTGAGCGCACGCGTAGGTGTATGTATATATGTATGCATAAATAAATATATATATGATGACGCAGTATTCAATTACAAAAATAGGAGTCCACAATGTATACAAAGTGGAGTGGATGGAAACCCTTTCAAACAGCTGACCTACCAAAGGCGAAAATGCCCTAGAAAGTGGGAAGGATGCATAGTCACTCTTGCTACTCCAGAGAAGAAATGGCATATTTGTGGAGTTGGAAATCAGTACTGTAAATCTGGGATGAGGCTTGTTATTAACGTCCAACAAAAAGAGGCTTCTGCTGACAAGAAATCAGAAAAAATCACTTGACACCCCTGAAGTTTTAAAATGTCACTTGTCTCCCCTAATAATTGCAAAAAAAAAAAAAACTATATTTACTCTTACTTGATAAATAATTCACATATCAAATAAATGGAACTCAAAAAATTACAAAAAAGAAAAAAAAGTAACTTTGTTCTCTTTCTCCTTTCTCCAACATTCTCTCTTACTCTTTTTTTTTTTTTGGATAACTATGCAATTTTTTATTTATAAATTACAGTAAATTGAATTTTTTTTATTTTTTATTTTATGTGATTGTCATACAGTGAGGTTTGATACGTTTGTTTATTTTAAGTTGATTTTTATAAATGATCAGTATAATTTAACGGCTTGAGCACAGGTTGAGAATAAGTTGAAAAAAAAAAAAAAGATTCATAAGAAATCGATTTTGGGCATATAAAGCTAAATTGGTGCTAGTGTATTCTTTGCAAATATCATTTTTGTTTTTCAGATTTATATTTTTATAAACTATATAGCATTATGACGTGGTAGTACTATTGGAGATTATTTTTTAGATGATAGTTTTCTTGGAGTAAACAAGAATTTTGTCGCACAAATAGCAAATGTAAGGGATGTAAGTGATATTTTTAAAATCTTAAGGGCGCTAGGTGATATTAAGAGAAACTTCAGGGGAGGTTTTTGATATTATCCCAACCGAATATCCGACAAGCCGAGAATAAAGGCATCCCTTCCCGTCTCAATCAATCCAATTACTGATATTCCAAAGTACATTAATGATATTTGCATTAGCTACAGAATAGTTATAATACTTGACATTTTTTTTCCTTGAAAATAAACAGCTGCTTGCTTCGAAGTTTCACGTATGACCTAGTCGAGAATCCATGAACAGCTTTTACGAAGTACACATTGTTATGTTTTTAACGTTAATTCGTGGACTTATTCGAGAAACGCATTCCACTTGCCAAATCTATTTTCGATGTACGGGTTGCCGTCATAAGCCGGCTGATTTTCTCAAAGTTTAATCAACACTTGCCATATCTATAAATGTTGTAGTACCGTGTATCAGTTCCTCCAAAGCTCACAATTAAGGCAAAATAAATTTTTTTAAAAAAAGGAAGCTTTAGCAGAATACATAGAAATATAATATACAAATGGCGTCGAAAGCTTTCTTGATTGCATTAGCTATTGTTGCTACAATTGTTGCTCCGACAAGGGCAAAGGAAATTGTGGTCGGAGGTAAAGATGGTTGGATGTTGGGCATGGATTATCAGGCCTGGGCTGATGGAATCGAATTCCACGTCGGAGATACCTTAGGTATGTCAAAATTCCTTGAATCCACAGATACCTTAGGGATTGCAATTTCCATTTATTGTGTTCCATTCTACAACGTAATCCTGAACTCACTAACGTTGAATGAGTTAATTATAATCTCTCGAAGCTAAAGAACTCTCTATACTGATTTTTAGTAATTTGCTCAAATAATATTTCAAAAAGCATAATCCTTAACAAGAACACAGATTGGACAGGAATAAGGTTAATCTTGGCTAGTTTTTGGGATGACAGAGCCCAATAACACCCGACAATATGGACGACAGAAATTATTAGAAATTAGTTAAAACCTTCTTTTTTCTATGAACCAAAAAAAGAAAAAGAAATCTTTATCATTTAAAGTTTCATCATGTATGTAATTCACTAACCAAGTTTTTTTTTTTTTTTGGGCAGTGTTTAACTACAAACCTGGAGCACACAATGTCATCAAAGTAAATGGAACCGAGTTCAAACTTTGCGCAGCACCACTCGGGGCTGCTCCTTTAACCTCCGGTCACGATGTAATCACCCTCGCCGCTCCCGGAAGGAAATGGTACATTTGTGGCGTTGCCGACCATTGCCACACTGGACCAATGAAGTTTGCCATTACTGTCCAGCCCGGTTTAGGATCTCCTTCACCTGCACCTGCTCTAACTCCTCCCAAACCCGATGCTGGAGCAGCCACCGGATTTGGTCCCTCAAAAACTCTCTCTTGGCTGATTGCTGCATTGGCCGCCTTCATGATGATCACGGCTTGACGGAGATTCAGGAGTAACCTTTACTACTATTTATACTTATTTGAAAGCAGAAAGACTTACAGGTTTCATTTTTTTTTTCAGTCCTTGTAATCCATTTATTTCTACTTGTTTACGTAACACATCAGTCAGTTAATGCATGCGGCTTTGTACGAGCTTTGAATAATACAGCATCTTGATCCCATTTGATTCCCATTGTAGCTTCATTTGAGTAATTACTTTTTACTGTAGGAGTTTGATCAGAATAACAATGATGGCTTAAATATTTATAACCCGTTTTTCATTTCACAAAAGTCATCCTCAATCATTTTAATTTTGGTCAAATCCGTATAATAAGATTGGAGGAAACTTTGAAGAGATGGAGGGTCAATAATAATAAAATATTGTCTTGTACGTGGTGATTGCAACAAATAAACCACACACGGCCATAGGTAAGGAAGGGGGGATGACATCAATGACAACAACTACATGCAAGAATTAATATCCGTTCTCCTATTCGTCAAGATTCAACCAACCAATCAAGCAATCCTTCATCGAAAGAGAAGTCCCTGAAAGACAGGGCAGATTAAATGCACAAAGATTTCCAGCCATTGCAGAACTTCATGCAGGATTCATCGTCAATCACAAGAAAAGAAAGAAGAAAAAAAGGGGCATAACATAGCAATCATTATTGAAAAAATTTGTCCATATAAAGTAGTAGTATATAATTTTAAATTGAACTCTTTTCATTATGAGCATAGTTACCTCTTGACCTTGGGTCCTTCCGCACTACTAAAAACATACTACCATTTAAAAGGAAGTTAATACAGTAGCATGTTAACTTTCTAGTAAATATGCTTTCCTTTTCCTACAAACTGCAAAATGGTTGCATGAAAAGTGCTTAGACCTGTCTTCCTAAAATCTTACTTCTGTCTGCAACTACGTTAACTATTCACAAGATTATCATTAAGCTGAGCTAGCTATGCTGAAAAAGAAGTCTCAACCACCAATTAGTGTCGTAAGTGCTAAGTTGCTTTCTCCATGTGGAAATGGTCCCACTCCTAACTTGTAGTCGACAGAGCAACAGCTGATATCAAAAAGAATTCCCAACTCCCATGACATGAGAGCAAAATCATAACAGTAGTTGAGAGATGTATATTACTTGCTAATCCAGATCAAAAGCAGAAGAATTCAGACCCAACTTTGGGACTATCCTTGCGACCTATTAAGAGACTGGGTACCTTCTCCTTCAGCTTAGAACAGTTAAGCATGTAGCATTGGCTGGCAAATAAAAAACTTAGATTATACATGCTGGCAGATTTAGATCAACTCAAGATTGACAAGTGACACATCCCTCCCCTCCCCTCCCCTCCCCCCAGCTAAATTCCTGTTTAGCACGAAACATCCCTCTAAAGCACAAGGAAAGAGGTTGACATAAGCTGAAATGGTAAAGTTCAACAAAATAAAGCGTGACAGATCGATCCATAGGAGTTGATTCAGGAAATGGACAAATAACATTTCCAGAGTCATGCATCCAATATCCTTGAATATAGATAGCAGCCTGAATTTCTGCTGTTTATTGACATCAAATTGATTGCACATGCTATGATGGCTAGTGACGAATTAAGACCTAAATACATTTTCTTAACAAATTACCGAACAATTTCTCAAACATCCTAATTTTCAACTTAGATGGATCACAACATCTGATCTCATATGAAGGCAATAGCTATATTACATTCCTACCGACGTGCCACCATACTGTTTTAATCTTGCATCATCATCTTCAACAAACCACGACAATTTCCCATTATAATCTGAGCTAATTATGCTAGGATCACTCCAAATGCAATGATCTCATACAAGCTTTCTCATTACATAAGATCCAATCCCAACTTTTGCAAATCCAACTGAGAAATCAACTACTGTATATATAGAATAAATGGCACCAGATCAGGAAACAAAGGGCATGTCTAACAGAAGTAACAAGAAAGAATAAATTTTCCCCCCTTAGATTTAATAAAAAAACTAAAAGAATTTGTCCTTCCTTCTGTGGTAATATCATAAAACAATATAAAGTTACACGAAGGGGATAGTAAAAGAGGAAACTTTATTCTCTTAAACCACCCCTATTGAAGAAGCAATTGTATAAAGCAGGAAAAGAAAGAGAAAAAGAGAATAAGCATAATCCCTTCTCCCTAGCCCAACTTCCTATACAACAAATCAGTGAACCTCTCTCCTTTTGATCCCACAATTAAATCAACCAATTAAAGACAAAAAAGGCATAGAACAATTGGAAAAGAGCCTCACCCCGTGTATTCTTGTGCCGGCACCACCACCAACTAGCTGATATTTGCTATCAATGAGCTGTAAGTTTAGACCTCTTCTTGGCCTCACTGTAAAGCACCACCCCCATTAGTGTCACAGCAAATCCGGTCATCCCCATAACGGTCACCGGATTCCTGAATATCAAGACTGAAACCACAGCAGCCACAGCAGCCTTGGCATTCCCCAACACTTGCAAAGTCAAAGCACTAGTATGCTTTGTCACCAAGAAGTTAGTCAAATTCACCAAATAAGCCACAGTGGCATTGGCAACCAACAAAAAGATCATAAACCCATCGAGCCTCGCCTTCTCAATTGTCACGGCAGTCACGTTCCCCTCAATATACAAAGTAAAGGGTAACAAAATCATAGCTGCCATCGGAGCCATGTACAACAAGAGATTCATCGAGTGCAATTTCTCAGCATCAGACGTTAACAACAACCCTTGAACCACAGACTTCAAGGCTCTCCCAGCAGTGGAACCTAATGCCATTAAAAACCCAAAAAGATGAAACAAGGGCTCGCTATTGCTAGCCAAAACAATCCCAAGAACCACAGGGACAAGTGCTAAATAAACCTCAGCAGATTCCTTTTTACAAGTAATCACAAATGCAAAAATGGCTGTGAAGAAAGGGGTAGTGGCACCAATTGCTTGGTTGAACGAGACAGGCAAGTACCTCAAAGAAGTATTCCCACAGACAACAGAAAAGCAAAAAATAGCAGATAAAGCAAGAATCTTGAAAAACTGCTTCCTACTATGAATTTGCTGAAAAGGGACAATTTCTAGCCACCTGATGGCTACAAAGCTATAAGAAGCACAAGAGATCATGTGCAGCATGGTAAGGAAGATTGGGTAACGGTAACCATAAAAGCTGAGGAGATATTTGTTCAGTAAAAGTACACCAATGTTTGACAAGTACCATGATGCAATGATAAGTGCTGTCAGCAAATTTGGAGAGATTAAGGATCCCACCCCCTGTTGATGTTTTATTTCAGCAGTTGGCGTAACTGGGATATCCAGGACTTGGTCTGTGGACTCCAATCTTGGGTTGCTTCCCCTCCTTGTTGTCCATGACTGTGCCTCCACCATCCCAGTTCCCAAACGTCACCCTTGCTTGATTGAATAGTCTGGTGTTTTTAGGCCTGTGCAGTGTGCGTAGTATGTGCAGAGCTGGTGGAGGAGATTTTGTTGTATACACTATACACTGCAGTGGAGTTAGAAGTCTTAGATCTGGGGGTGGTGACTGGTGACAAGGTGTGAAGGGGGCGTTGAGTTGAGGGGAAAGATAAGGTGGGAATGTGGGCTTTGGGCTTGGGGGGCGCTGATGGATCGGATTTGACTCGAAGGTGGAGATTTAGATTTGGGTAGGGAATGAGGACAACAGCCGTTGGATGAGAGATGGCGGGGAATAAATTATTAATGGCAATAACATCATTAGATTTCTCGAGATGGTTTCTGAATTGTGTCGGCCTTGACTTGGATTGGGTACTTCGGTAAGTTATGTACGTCACTGTGTGTACTCTACCCTCTCTGTGTGTGTGTTATTTTTTTTACTGTTGGTGGAGATGGAGAGATAGAGAAGGTATTTTCACTCGTGGGGTTACTGCTCCTGGAAAAACTACTACTACTACTAATATTCTCTTTATATGGGTCGGGTCGGGTCGGGTCTGCAGATTCTTTTTTCCTGTAGTGTAATGCTAGGCCCCTACAAATTTAATGCAGTTGAGAATATGTTGACTCTGATTCATGGACCAATAAGAGAGTGGTTTAGATTGTGATTCTTGGTTCCGAGTAGGGCTGCAAACGAGCCGAGCCGAGTCGAGTTTTGAGCTAATCGAGCCGAGTCTCGACTAAATTTTACCAAGCTCGAGCTCGAGCTCGAGCTCGACGAGCTGGCAATTTTCGAGCTCGAGCTCGACTCGAATCAAGTCGAGCCGATCTCGAGTCGAGCTCGAACTCGAGCTCGAGCTCGAAAAAAATAAAAAATAATTATTTTTTTTAAAAATAAATAAAATAATATTTTTTTCTTAATAAATAATAAAATATTAAGGATATATACGTAATTTTACTATGAAAATAAAAAATAAAAAATATATATATATATAATATACGTAATTTTATTATTAAATAAAAATAAAAATAAAAAATATATATATATACTCAAGCTCGCGAGCCGGCTCGCGAGCTAACGAGCTTAATATTCTGAGCTCGAGCTCGAGCTCGAATTTGACTCGAGCCGGCTCGAGCTCGACTCGAGCTCAAATCGAGCGGCTCGCGAGCAGCTCGATTCGTTTGCAGCCCTAGTTCCGAGCATCTGTCCATAATTGGATGGCAACAAAAAAAAAAAAAAAAAAAAAAGAGGGAAGTAGTCCCTGTATTGACAAAAATAAAATAAAAAAAAATTTGGATGGCAACAAACTGTAAACTCTTCCACTGCCCAACCTTTGTATACAACACAACCAGCAACACTACACTTCTTTTTTGTAGTATAATTTATGGGATTACTATATTCTTTTTTTTTTACCTGATATGATAGACTTATTCCTACTTTATATTATGGAAAAATGGATGATCCAATTGGACCAATGGGGAAATTCGAGGGGGGGGGGGAACTGAATTATTACTGATCCAGACGGATACCTACGCCCTCACTGGCAAAATATTTCAGGAAATTCTGAATTTTTAAAATATAAATCAAGGATTCGATGGTCAGTTACTTTAAGAATAGTTGGTTTATGGGACTCCTGTGTTCACTTGAGTTGGCAATTTGAATCTAGAAACATGCTCAAGAAGAAGCCCTTTGCAAACCCCCCGTCTTGTGCTATTAAAAACACAATATTATATTTGTAAGAAAAAAAATATAGTAGACCCTTTTTTGGTTTGCTTTTCCATAGCCCATCTAAATTGTAATTTTTTGAGTTTTTTATAGAAAAATATATTATAATAATTTAATATATTTGAAATAAAAAAATGATTAAAAAATAGGTTTATGAATAATAATTTTTTTAAAAAAAAATGGCAATTCGAACGAGACATAAGTTCTTGATTAGTTCAGGATATCATTCTCAATCGGGCGACTCCCACTTGATTAGTTCTTGTTTTCTGATACTTGTTGGATTTCTTAAAGGATTAGATGTAATCAAACTCGAAAGAAGAAGAGAGAACAAGAAAGTGACTCAGAAGATTCCGAAGCATCATTTGTTACATGCTATTTGCTTTTTGCCAATTTGATATATGCTAATTACTGAATTGTAAAAGAAAAAAAGGATGGAAATGATGAATTTGTTGAACTTTTGGATTTACATCTAACGAAACTTTAAAAAAATTAATTTTACATATTTTTTCTTCAACTAGAATATCAAAATATTGATAATTTAACGGGTACATGATGCACTCCTCCGTAGACGCTGCTATTCTGCATATTTATTGAACTAATGGGGTGGATTAAGAACTTTGCCTCCTTTTTCGTCTCTTGCTCTTTTGTTGTGCAAATACAGATTGAACCTTTCTTTAAGTTTCAAGACTTCATATTTGCTTTAGTCTATAGAAATACGTGGAATTTTTTAACCAAAAAAAAAAAGAAAAGAAAAGCTGGTTGGACAATACATGGGTTCAAATATGCTATTTTCCACTCGTTCATCAATGACAAATGTGTTTTGGCAAAAACTTCTGTACAAAATAGGAATTAACTTTCTTGAATTCTTGTTTGATGCCAAATGGCTCCACAAAAAGTATAAATACAAACTGACCCATCTAAATTATGTTTGTTTCATTCGATTTTCTTTAAGACATACATTTGGAAAATTTAATACGTTTTTACACTATCTTTTTTCTCTTTCAAAAACAATTAATCAATAAAAGTGCTACACAAAAAACTTTCTATGACATCCCACAAACAATCATTCAAACGGAGGAAACGTAACTGTGAAGTCTCCATTTCCCTGTGACCAAGTGGTCCCTGCAAAATTGATTTGGGTACATCTCCCTAAAAAGAAAAGGAAAAATGTCTCGAAAGCCCAGTTCATGAACAACCAAGGATCCTTGTCAAGGGTTCTATTCCTTTCTTTCGGCCTAAATGAGAAACATCGACCCGGGTGTGTTCATGGCGGCCTGATTCATTCTGTCCCAGCCCAGCCCGGTTACCTTGGTATGAAACCTTTATCTACAATACTCTCGGCATTGGATGGACTTCCAAGGCCTGTTATCTAGAGCTTTTCACGAGTCGAATTGAACAAACCCTGCTCGTATATTATACTAATAAAGTTTGAATTCACATGAATATTAATGAGTTACAGATATTAGTTGAATTCAATTTGTTTATTTGTATAAATATTCAAACTCGGCTCGTTAAACTATACGGGTTGAATTCAAACTACAACTCGAGCTTGAATTCGATTTTGAAGATGATTTAATTATATTTTTTTAATAAATAATACATTATTTAGAATAAGTTTAATTGCATTTATTGGTTTTTTAAAAATAAATAATGCTAATTTATGTATAATTATTTTTTAGTAAAATATAATATATATTTAATAATATTAAATGTATTTATTTTTTATAATTATTTATATGTTCGCGAACTAGGGATGTAATTGATACTCAAACTCGAGTCGACATACAAGAAGGGTGCTTGAGCTCGAGCTCGAGTGAGTAGTATTATTAGAGCTCGAGCTCGATGCTTGCTTACAGAATTCGAATTCGACTCACATGGGTTTGAGTCAATGCGAGACTTATCAAGTTCGAGTTAGAAAATTTTATTTTCTTGACAATTTTTTAGCAAAAAGGCATTGTTGCCTTTTAAAAATTTTTATACGACATGAAACATTTCATAAATTCAACAACTCTTTTGGGTATAAAAGTAATTTTATAATAATAATATATTAAAGAATTAAAATTAAAAAGCTCAATAAGGTTCGACGAGTTTTCAACCATTGCTTCTGAATACTCGAACTCGACTCGCTCGCTTTATTGAGACACTCGAATTCGACTCAAATTCGGTCAACCCGAATTCAAGTCAAGTTTTTGAGCGAGCTGCTCGCGAACAGTTCGGTTCGATTATATCCCTATCGCGAACTATTCGAATAGTTATCGAATAAGTTCGTGTTCGACTTAATTATTAAACGAGTTTAATATTCTATTCGAATTTGATTCGTTTATTATACAATCAAACTTTTTTCCAACTCGGACAAGTTGAACACAAATACGTTCCTAAATAGCTCGGTTCATTAAATGCTTTGTCAGCTCTGTCATCCATTGATTCTGGTTTTTGTGGTCAAAATTAGAATTCAAAAAATACGTATCTTATAGTAGTTTCTCATTTTGGCTTCTTTTTTTATTTTTATTTTTTAAATTCAAAAGCTAAAAGACTAAGTAATTGAGAAGATCACGTAATATATTTCTCAAGCTCAGAAACTAAAGAAAGTCCATGAAAATTGGTTGTAAACAGATCCTTAAATCTCAAGTTCTCGCGGAATAAAAAAGGTAGGACCTACTAACTTTTATCCACAAAAGCTTAAACTTTCGATACAAAAGTATATGTAAATTAAGAGATGGTGATAATTTCAAAATATTTTAATGGGTGTTTATCTTATGCCTTAAGCCATATAATAGAAAAAGCATTTAATCTTTTACCATTCTCCCAAGTTTAATTTACTTGGCGAGACATTTACTTAGCATAAGTATCAAGTTTCTCAAGGCCCTTCGGCTTTCTTATTGTAGTCTTGAGGTCTAGATATCAGCAAATTTGAATGCAACTCGCGCATAAATGAGTTGACATTACCTTGAGTTAAAAACCCCACATTAAAAAAAAAAGAGAATCTTAATAATATTAATTCCATAATCAAGGTAGAGAATTTGCTATTCTTTGCCCCAATGTTCATTAGAGCGTAAGTGTTTTGAATTATATAACAGCACATCTCAAAAGCCAAAACCTAGATTAAGGAATAGCAAAAGAAGTTCCTTAGCGCAAGCAAGAGCTGAACCATCATTTATCATGCAGAAAATCAATGCACGAAATGCCAAAAGTTCACTAATGCCTATAGTTTTAATCCCTCTGTGTAAGGACATAACTGACATTAATGGAATTGTTTACTGAAACTTTGAAAACCGCCCTTGGATGGTCTACTATCATTGTCATTAAAGTTCTCATGATTTTTAAAGTCTAATTTAATTTACTATTCTTCAGAATAATAAAATGTTCTTGCCTAAGATGTAAAAAAGATATGCATAGAGTTCAGAGAATGGACAGTGCCATCCTTGGGAGGCAATGAGATGACCATTTATTTACATGAATATTGGTCGAGCTGTGAGAGTA